TCACTTTGTCTTAGAGAATTATGTAGTGGCATTTCTGCATTAGCGACATAGGTCTAATGATGACCGTTGTCTGTTGTGATTATTATTTTTTCCATGGGTCTTCGAGCCCATTCAGGGCCCTGGCCTATTATTCAGTTCCGTAATCATTTTTCACAGACGGTAGGACTCCTTGGACAGGAGATCAGCCCGTCGCAAAGCCGCTACCTAAACACAGGACAACACGAACATAGAATACGCACACACACACACAAGACATCCACGCCCTGAGTGGAATTCGAACCCACGATCCCAGAGTCCGAGCGAGCGAAGACAGTTCATGCCTTAGTCCGCGCGGCTGGTGTGATCGGCTCTTCATAATATCATTGCGCAGTTATTTGAGTTAGGTTGGCAGTAATGCACTAGGGGATCTCATGTTGTTGGGTTGGGTGTTTTATTATTTGATGGCGCTACATCAGATGTTGAGGTCATATTTCACGGCAAGACGTTAGCCGATTAATCAGAAATAATGTGGAACAAAGCGTTTGTAGCCTTCTTCAAGAGAATATCCTGTCATCCTACTGCAGGAATTAAATAAAAGTACAGAGAACATGAATCAGGTAGCTGAGCTGACGCCACAGTGGAAATGTTGTGTCGCAGTGGGTCACATGGAGGTCATGACGTAACTCTGCGAAACAAATTGACTCGTCTATATTTGCCCGAACAATACTCTGCTTTATCACAACTAGATCTTAGTGTATTTGCCAAGATTCGCTGGGCCACGCCAAGAAACGATACAGCTGCAGTGCAAATAGCCATTAGCCAACATCTCATTAATTTGCATTTCAGTTTGAAATACATTTTGTATTGCGTACGGGGACAAGCATGGCCTAACATATGCTTGACTGGAGCTGCATGCGATGTGCCAGGCACTGGTTGTTGTGTCTCTCTTCAAACCCATTTTTAACGAAACGAAACGCGAGTAGTACCACGCCTTGTTGTACAGTTCGTTCAGTTAAGGAGGAAACTTCGCAACACCGCTGACCCGGCCCAACATTCCTCACAGATTGCTTCTGTAACTGCTGATAGCGCTGATAAACGCGCGCCGTTACAGCAGCAATCTGTGAGGAATATTGGGCCCGATCAACGGTGTTGCGAAGTTTCTTCCTTGATTGAACGCCCTGTATTATCAATACATAATTGTTGCAACATTTTCACTTCGATGGCACAGAGACCACGTGCTTGCTTGGCGAAGTTCCATTCCCGACATGATCACGGACTTTTGGCAATTACTGTGTACGCACAGCCTCTCGAAGGCTCTCGGCCTTTGGCGGCTCGATGCCGAACACACCCTTTAGGCCGAGAAGGCAACATGACTATAAAGTTTATCGTTCTCTTACATCGCAAGACGTAGTTTAGGATTTAACACATCTGCATTTTCTTGTCTTATACGCTCCTCCGCAGCACAGAGTATACTGCACTTCATTCCCGTTACAGGTTTCTAACTTGCCGATCATAAATGCCTTCGATCGCTCGAACGCTGTGATCGTGGGCTCGAATCCCACTCGAGGCATGTATGTCCGTGTGCGTTTATTCTGTGTTTGTGTTGGACTGTGTGTAGGTAGCGGCCTTGCAACGGGCCAGTTCCCCGTCCAGAGAATGTTTAGATTAAGAAACTGAAAAGGCGGCCAAGGTCCACAAGGACGCAAAAACAATAGGCAGCCGGATGGATGGATGGATGGGTCCAGCTTGTGTATAGGAAAATTTGCTACTGTGTTCAACTACTGCGCTTGGAAGTCGTACAGGGGCATTGCCTTCAGTTCCACGTAGTGTGAACATCAATCCTAGATCTTAGTCCTGGCTAAAGAACCACTGATTACTATTCAGTTGAAGGCTTGGCGGACTCCAGAGATTGTCTGGACACAGTGGCAATAAAAAGACAATGTTACCTCTGCCCAGGATCTATCCACGGCCTGAACGGTTTGTAGCCAGTCACTTTACTGACTGAGCTATACTATTTTTAATCTCACTTATCCTATTAATTCTTTATTCTTAGACTGTAAACATAAAATTGTGGCATAAAAATAATAACGCCTCTCTGACACAGCATGGTTAATAAGAAGCGTACTCCTTGTCTCCTCCTTATCGCAGTTACTGTTAACACATGCGTGATGACGCAAGTGATTTGCCCAAGGAGGAAATCCACACATATGTGTATGTACACGTCAAATTCAGAAATTCTTTCTGTTCTACATGCCACATGTCAATGCGTGTGCGAAAAACGATTCGCCGACCGGCCTATTGCTGTAACATCTCTCAATGTTCAATGCAAGGCAGCATACGTAGCATGCGCCTTTACATCACGTTTTAACCACGATAAATGCGATATTATGCGATACTCGTTATGACCGAAACAATCAACATTTGCAACGCCATCTGTTGTCGCGCACGGTGAATATACGTGCTGCGTTTCACAGTCTTACGGCGAACTCTCAGAGAGGAAATTGTCCTCACGATTCCATTCTTATCAGTGCCTTCCTTCCGGAAGAAGTAAAAGTGAAATATTTTGTCCTGGACTCGAACCCATGCAAGTAGGAGCAACATCAACAATTTCCCTATAGTTATCTCTCCAAGAGGAACATTTTTTTATGTTTTAACAGGTTTTCTGCGGCCCCCCTGTTTGTGAGGAACAGGATCTGACAGGCCGGACAGACGCTACTGGTGATTATATATACAGGGCGTTTCAAAAGTAGTTTACAAATTTGAGAGGATATACACATTTATTCGAATCAATATAGCGACTGGCTACGGGTTGGATGACCCAGGGGTCGGAGTTCGAGTCCCGGTAGGGTCAAGAATTTTCTCTTCTACACGTCTTCCAGACCAGCTCTGGGGCCCACCCAACCTTCTATACGGTGGGCACCGGAGGCTCTTTCCCAAGAGGTAAAGCGGCCGGATCGTGAAGCTGACCACTCACTTCAAGCTAGTGCCGTGGTCAAGAAAATGGGGTTCTATATATCCACTCCCCCACGCGCCTTCATGGTGTAGTGCTTAATTAGTTAAGCAGAGGGACAGCTTTACCTTTTTACCTTCCAATATTTTGAGAAGAGGGCTGGGTGTCATTCGGATTGTCGTAAACTCTCGCAGGACTTCGAGCCACGTCAGCCGGTTACATCCAACATGACTCTCTTTTCACACTGTTTCTGCAGACACGTTACGTTGGAAGGTGAGTCTCGAGTTCGAATCTCATTGGAAACGTAAATGCCCCCGTTTTTCTCTGTTTGTCTGTGATAATGGAAGCTCCTTCTTTCTTTTTGTTTTCTCTCTTCTTTCCTGTCCCCTCGTTCTTTGCAGTCCGCGCATGCGCTACTCTCACACGTGGAGACGCGATGCTCGGGCATCCACAGGAAGCTGAGTTGTCTTCCCACAGAGGATTCACTAATTAGGCGCTAATGGCTTTTATTTCTGCTGAGACAGCAAGAAGTAAATGTGATACTCTTTTATCGAAAGTTGACTCTCGCGATACTAATGGAACCCGCCCAATCAGTTCCTTGTTCTGTCATGTAGGCTTCGATTGGTTTCCACAGCAGTCATGGCTCGCTTATCAATGGCTGTAGATTTTGTTGTATGCATTGAATGTTACGTAGGCTTATTTCAGTAGCCGTTCAGTTGATCCGGTTCAATTGGAAGTTCATGACCGTGCTCACAAATGCACCATCCTAAGTAATTTTAATGCTGTTCACAGCATCATTGCATATCCATGTATGAATCATTTTAATATTATCCCCCTAGCTGAGATTATTTCTTGATATTTCTGTTGCAAAATCTTTACTCATTTCTTATTTTCTATCGCGTGCTGAAGACCTAATCATCACATCCTCTTTTTATTTTATCACCCTACCAATATTAATGGAAGTTAATTACGCATATGTTTCTGTCTTTATCTTGTCACCCTTCCTCACTACATGATCGGCACCATAAGCCATCATCAGGTGTTGTCTATCTTGCCAAAATGGTTTCACTCTATGTCAAAATTGTGTATCGCCTATGAATACCATATTTCCCAATGAAAAAAAAAATTAATCTTAAATTAAAATGATTTAACATCTTAATATCTTTCCATTGTGGTCGTCGTACAATATCTACAAGCACAACCCACTTAACAACACAACTAGTCTACCAGCCTGGAAAACCTACAGCCAGTGGAGCACACATAACAACACTATATCGACATGCTTACGAACTGCAGAAGTAACACGCACAATGCCCACCCCGCAGAGGGAACGCAACGCGAATGAATCCAACAACGGGAAATGCTCTCAAGCAAATATCTGTACAATGAATGGGTGACGACCACAATGGAAATAACATTAAGATGTTGATTAATTGTAATATAAGAAGGTAAAGTTGTCCCTGTGATTAACTAATTAAACACTACGCCATGAAGGCGTGTGGGGGAGTGGATGTATAGATCCACATTTCCTTCATCACAGTATTAGTTGGAGATGAGTGGTCAGCTTCACGCCCCGGCCGCTTTACCCCCGAGGAAAGAGCCCCCAATACCCAATGTATAGGAGGTTGGGTGGACCCCAGAGCCGGTCTGGACGATATGGAGAAGTGAGAATTCTTGCCCCACCGCGACTCTAACTCCGACTCCTCCGTCCTCCAGCCCGTAACCAGTTGCTATACCGACTGAGCTAGTTTTAATTCACGGTAAATTTATTTTAATTGGGAAATATCGCGTTTAGACGCAGTGCATAATTTAACTCATCTAGTGCAACAAATTTGGCAAGCTAGACAACTCCTGAAGATGGCAGCGTGCGGCCGAAACATGTAGTGACTCGATAAGAAGCTGCATATACATGTAATGCAAGAGGATGCTTAAGTACGCAGCTATCAACGGAAGTGTGGCTATGGCAGTGGCCCTCCTGTCTTCCTGTTACGTCCTGTCAGTTAGGCCACAGCACCGGCTTCACATCCGTAGGCCTACAAAACAATTGGTTCCTGTAATCAGTTTCTCTTACCGATGAGCAGATTGATGCCTTCCGTCAGATCCTTGTCATACAGGGTGACAACTTTGCGGCCGTCAACCAGCAGCGGTGTGATGTCGAGGAGAACTCCCTCTGTGACGTCACAATGATCATAGCCTGGCCGGGTCACCCCGTACACCGCCGTCTCCGGCTGCCGCCTGTGCATACAGATTACACATCATTATAGCGTAGACGCATGGGGAAGCGGAGGTATAGCTCCACCATTCTTAAACTCGGAACCAATCTTCACGCACCGACCGCTTTATCCCCGGCTGCGTGGGCATCATAACTGGTCTCGACGCTGTGGAGTAGAGAAAAACGTCTTGACCCTGCCGGGAATCGAACTCCGGCTGTCCAGCCCGTAACCAGATACTGTAGTTACTTAATTGCATGTGTGCCGACTGTCATGAACATGGAATTGAAGCACACGTTTACTTGCAGCGTACCTTCATCTGTTCTGTTCACAAAGTGAGGGCTCACACTGCTCTGCACGGATAGGCATGCACATAGCATAAGTTTCAGGCGTGCACACGACTGGGTTTGGCGAATGCAAGGGCAGGGTTTATAGCCTATTGTTTACCCGCCGCACATTCCGTTGCTAAGGACAACACCGTAGATTGGTTGGGTGGCTAGGGAATAATGAACTCGAAAGGCTGTGGGACAAAGCCACTGTGGCTTAATTTTAAAGTACTATCCCAGAATTTACTTGGAGGAACTAGATAAAACCTTGAAAATCCCGTGTGTCCAATTGAAATTCAACCAATATTACGGAGGAACATGTTGCATTCATGTCCATGCTGGTATTGTTTGACTTTCTCTTCAACCCAGAAGATGGAGGAGATATTTTACTCCGACACGTCAGAAACTGTTTATTCCTTGCACTCTAACTGCGCCCTGAACCCCAGTCACGGACGGCCAGCAAGGTAAGGTTCTGTAAGCTGGGAACTCCCCTTATAGAACTTCTATGCTAAGAGATTCTTAAAAGTTTCTCTGAACCGGGGGATTTCCTTGGAATGATGCTGACTCCAGGTAACATTAAAAGTGGCGTTAGGAGAATGCTTTGTAAGGACGGGAGGTGGATCGAACTTGCTCTCAACTGTGTCCATAGATGATTTTAGCCTACTTCCCCTATTTTAAAAAAATGAAAGTAGGCTTATGCGATAACCACGCTGTCTGTGTGGCTGTGTATCCTCCCCTATTAACTTTTGAATGTCTGAACCAGTCTGTATGAAATATCACTGCACTTCAGCCCATTTCGACTGCCTACTTAATAAATCCCTCCCATCAGTCTGTGTCTGCAGGTGTTTCCCCCATCGTTGCTAGGCAACGGCTAGGTAAAAACGTTACCCCGTCGACGAATGCGCACGCAAAAACAGTAAAATTGTTGACGCCTTTTTCCTATGCGGTCAGTGTCGTATCAATGGAAGGTAGGAGATTAGATCTTCCCAGAACTTCTTGTTATATTGTTGTTGCTAAACTTTTGTGTTTCGCTTCCAGAAAGCCATATACTTTCTGCATGTGTTACTTTGCTTTAGTTGCGTGTTATTTTATCGATTACTTGAGTCCTTTCGGTTGAAGAAGTTCCGTGAATGTTCTAGAGTCCCAGACAGCTAATGGACAAAGGCTTAGCAGTAATAAGGAGATGAGTGGTATATTGACTCGCTTGGAAGACTCTAGATAAGAGCATTCAGCTTAGCAAAGAGATTATCTGGTGTCGCAGAGGCCCCAAAATCGTTAGCCCGACGACATTTATAAGAAACACAAATGAAGGAGGATTCACCTCGTAGAATACTGCGTGAAAGGGTCGAGGTTTTTACGTTTTGTGTTTTGAAACTCGTTATTTGCCACTTCTCACACCTCGTTTTACGTGGCATTAATCAAGTTCAGTGGTTCCCAAAGTGGGCTTTCCCGCCCCTGGGCCCGGTGGGGCGGCAGGAAACGGTGGAGATGGGCCCCTCCTAGCACGTTGCTCGCTTATTTACGACTGAATTGGCTTCAGACCAGACACTGGGAAACTGGTATCACTTCATCTTAGAGGGTTGTGCAAACCGCTGTTTTGAAGAATGCTTTTTATAGGGCAAGGGGCGGTGGCCTGAACAAGTTTGGGTACCACTGGCCTAATTGTTATGTCATAAACAGATCTAATGCTGACTCTGCTAATCGGCAGTGGAGATACAGAACTGGAAAGTGACAGAAAATATCTTCCTTTTTATTTCACACGCTGTTCTGAAAATGTGGTTTGAGGTCGTCGCAGAGGTGGTTATGAAGAGTTGTTTCTTCTGGGATATAATGCCATTTAGTCTATGATTTATTTAATCCGTCTTGCAGTGCATACACTCATTTATCTCCTTCTTGCAGTGTATGCACTGCAAGACGGATTAAATAAATCATGAACTTAAATCAGTGCAACAGGACGCTAAAACATAACATTAGCCGTTTAGTCTGTTGAAGGCCAGCCGACGTTTCGGAGGAACGTAGCACGCCTCATTTTGATAGGCATGCGAGTACTTTTCTGAATCAACACTTTCCAGACCGTTGGATTTGTCAATCGACCAGTTGGTTCCAAAGTTAAGTGGAGGTGGACGCGGAGGCGAAGTTTTCTTCCGAAACGTCGGGCCCTCTATGAATTACACAGCGTTACAACCCAGAAGTTCCTGAATAGTCATAAAATTACATTCTTACTCTAGTTTCTTTAATTTTATTTTTATTTCTTTTATCGTGTTTTATTTTGATTTTAAATTTACGATTTGAATTAAGGCCGTATATTGCCAAATAGTGTAATGTTGACAGGAAATCTGTGGTTCGGACTTTCGGCGAGATCGCGCACCCAGCCAAAGACCCTGTCTACATACAGAGGCAATGATGGCATGCCATACAGTTGTGTACTGTAGCTCAGTGACACGGAAGCTCTTTCTTGGTCTATTATTCGCTGGTCAAGGGACATCCCGCTACAGAAAGTGACCGTCATCACGACAATTCCAAAAACCGTCTCTGGGGCCTGTCCTAAACCAGTTCAATTCATTTCACATATTAATACGTTATGACATATCTGCTGAAAGCCGGGACAGCAAAACCAGAAGAGACGGCCGTTGTTAGGCATTGGCTCTGTAAACATGTTTCCACGGCAACCAGATCACGTGACCACCGCAACAGATACGCACGCAACAATAGAAGAACTGTTGTAGGCGGTGTCCAGGAATGACCGTGCTGGAGAAGACCAGCAGCAATTTAACAGACCGGCCTAACCTTGCGTTAGATGTGAAAGGGTCGCCAGCCAGCGAGAACAGAAGGTGCCGAACACGGAATCTGAGGAATCTATGAATTGCTGGGAGCCGTTACCAGGCCACCACTAGTGAAGACAAGATGAGAAGACTTAGTACATGCCATTTCTCTCTCGCTTTTTTGTTGCTCCCACTTTGGAGCACATGGCATCCGTGAAACGCTTTGTTTCACTTCAGTTTCTTAATCCCAAGACAGTCGGTAAGACGCCCTTGGACGGAGGATCAGCCCGTCGCAAGGCCGCTACCTACACAGGACAATACAAACAGAACAAACGCAGACAGATATCCATGCCTTGAGTGGGATTCGAACCCACGATCGAATTGTTCGAGCGATTAAAGACAGTTCATGCCTTAGACCACACGGCCACTGTGATCGGCCGTAGGTGCTATAGTGAATTGTAAAGTGTATGAATTAGCGATAGATATTAATAATTAATAATACTAAAATTGGTTCTAGAAAAATATGATGTAAAGATAGAGTACAGAAACCAAAGTTGTTCCTGTGCTTAATTAAGTACAGCGCCATGAAGACGTATTGGGGAGTGCAGGTATAGCTCCACCATTCTCTGCCTCCACTCTAGATAGACTGAAGATGGGAACTGAAATTTCTAGTTATGCTTGTCTGCCCTCTTCATTTAGTTATTAAACCTGTTAGATGGTTTGTGTACTTTGTTTGTCAGTTTGCAATTACATTGCTGCCCTCGGCGCTGTCGGCACCGCGGGTTGCGCGCGCCGAACGGTAGAACTGGTGCCCTGATTTCCGATATCATCCCCACATTTGCCTGGGCGAACCGAGAGAAGCGAAACAAACCTGTCAGGATGGTCGGTGTTGCAGCCGGAACTCGAACCGAGCACCTCCCGCGTCAAGTCACAAGCATTTCCGCTTGAATCAGGCTCATTACTTTTCTGATTGATTAGTCGTTCTCTCATTTGTATCCTGTACAATTTGTCAGTTAATTGGTTAGCTACTTCGTAAGTTATAAAATATTTCTTTTCTTGGGGGCGGGGGGGGGGCTCAATCGCAAAGCCGTCCAGATGGGAATTTCTGGGAGCAAAATGGCATTTTGTTGCATAACTTCAGGTTCCCCAGTCAGTGCTTGCTCTATCAATGCTCCACCTTCATCAGGAGTCGCTAGAGCATCCGGTACCTGTCTACAGTGGGTGCTCCCCGCTGAGGCGCCGCCTGCCCCACGAGCCTGGAGTCGTCTATCCGGACGAGTAGAATGTCGCCGCTCTGCATCTCGGCGCTCCCCTCCCAGCTAACAGACGCCGGGGCGGACTCCGCTTCGTCGTTGTCTTCACCCTCACAGTCCGGCTGCACCTGCATCATTACACAACTCACATGTAGCCCTGATCTTTCGCACAGAAATGAAATCTCCACATAACATCTCCACCTTCGTTAATTATCGTCAAAGAACCCAAAGCTAATAAAGATTTCATTCAGTCGTCATGTTATTACTTTATGTTATACATGAATGGGCTCATCCCCGGAGAATCCCGCTGTCATGTTGGAAATATCAGTGACAGGAAGTTAGGTGGCCTCTAGTGGCATGACGTTCATACCAAATTTTATAAAAATGCTTTAGTATGTTCAGGCGTTGGGACAGTCACACGGAAACAAATTGGCTTTAACGAAAAAAAAAATGACAATGCCAGGCCCTGGCCGTGGTTGGAATGTTAAGCTGTATGTCTTCCGTCTTCCCTGTCGGCCATCATCATCACTATCAACTTGTCTGTTCCCCGGAATGCAAAATTCCGCCCAGTGGGTATACCTGTCTAAATGTGCATATCTACAATCGCCAGGCGTGCAAATTCTAAGGTGGTCATAGTCCATATACATGCTACTGTAAACGTGTTTTCTTATAACATTAAACAACTGGTGTTCGTGTAGAAAATGTAGGCCCTGCATGGCGCTGTCTACACGTCTCATTGAGCTCTACAACTTTCATTTGATACCTTCTTTCTGTATCGGATGTTTTGCTGAAACAGGAGCATTGCCAGTTCTTATTCTTGCCAAGTTCATATCCTTCTCCACAGTGGAACTCTGCTTAGTCGTGTTTCGTCAAACGGCCTAATGTTATAAAGAAGCCCGAATATCCTGTAGAAGGGAGGCTCCGCGCAACGCACTATCTTCCTTTATGAACACAGTGAACAAAAACAAAATTTCGCTTGTGCAACTAGAAGACTGGCTCCAGAAATACGTTCAGCAGTTTCCGAAGATAGGTCACAAGCAGTTTGCAACCGCAGACTAGGAGCAGTAGACGTGTGTAAAAAGCAGCAGCGCAGTTGACGGGTGTATTAAAAAGGTAAAGCTATCCCTGTAACAGGCCACAGAGGCCCGTACCGTTGTGAGACGTCGAGGCTCCCACATTTTCTAGACGGCGGTGAGGGTGTCAGCCTTACGCGCGGTCCGCCCTTTACCCCCGAGGAAGATTCGTGGTACTCATTTCTGTTAGAGGCTGAGTCAACCCCAGGGCCATAGTGCGGCTGAAATGATTAGGTCAATTGAAAAAAAAATCCGGTGACCTCTTCGGGAACCAAACCCGCGACCTTCCGGCTTGTACCATAGTGTAAAAAATTTTAGACCTTTCATGGTTACCACGAACAATGGTCATTGCTGTTGGACTCATGCCGTGTAATTGGAATTGCAGAAAGCTTATTAGAATTTCATAGATTGTAAAATGAACTAGAACAAAAGGCCATACATTAAAAGTAAGGCTGACTGTTCTCTGTGCGAAGCGAGGAGTTGAGGGAGAGACAGGTTCGAATTTATCTTTAATCGGACGTGGGAAACGTTACTTGAATTTATACAATTTCTCGATGTGGCTCGTGTATGAGAACCGAAAGGACGTGCGGTCAGATCTTAAGATCTACAGTACTCGTATATCGGAACAGACTGTACGTGAGTACAAAGACCAGCCCCTAGGTATTCGTATATATTCACTCTGTTAACTTTCCTAGCGATGCAACATACAGGATTGCTAATGTACACAGTTCGCCACTGCATTTCACAGCAGGAACTATAAGTGACGTGCTATATATGTGCTTTCCTTACTTACTTACTCATGGAGCTGAGCCCTTCTGGAGGAGAAGCCAATTCTGCAGCTACTCAAGAATTTCTCAACATTTTAAGGAACCCGAAGGTTCATTACCGTGTTCACAAGAGCCCTCCACTGGTCCCTGTCCTGAGTCAGATCTATCCAATTCATACCATCCCATCTTATCTCTCCAAGATCGATTTTAACTTTGTCCACCCACCTACGCCTTGGTCTTCCCAGTGGTCTCTTTCCTTCTGGCATTCCCACCAATATCCTATACGCATTCCTTGTCTCCCGCATTCGTGCTACATGCCCTGCCCACCTCATCCTCCGTGACTTGATCATTCTAATAGTACTTGGAGAAGAGTACTAGTTATGAAGCTCCTCATTATGCAGTTTTCTGCAACCTCCTGTCACTTCATCCCTCTTCCGTCAAAACATTCTCCTCAACAAAGAAAATATAACTACTGTAATTTAAAAAAGGGACTTGATTTTGTAAGTTGGTCTATCCGTATTCAGACTGTGTAGCGTCGGCTGATGCGTGAATGTCAAGTAGACGGTGGAATTGGAAGTCGGGGGCAGCCGGGCCACTTTGTCCACCACAGATTTCACGTGACCTGTCCTGAGTTCGCACCTGCCCCGCTTCTAGACGCCTGAGCTATGGTGCGGCCCCTTAACTCATACTACTTCAAATTGACGGGAAGTCAAAACTGTATATTGAGCGAAAAATAATCAGTAATAATGCCCCTTTTTATTAGCCACACTGAAATAAAAGTAAATATGCATATAACTATATAACTATAACGGGGGCACGCGGTAGCGTAGTTAGTCTGTACAAAGTGACTGTTCGTCAGAGCCGAGTTACTGTTACGACTGGCGGGTTACTGTCAATGAGTTCGTCTTGGCCACAAGCCCCTTGAGACTCACGACCAGCAATTTTATTTCCTAACTGAACACTTACGGTTACAGTTCTCTGTGAAGAGAGGATGGGTCTGTTGTTTACCATTGCTGCTGGTCCTCGCCAGCGCAGTCATTCTCAGGTCCGAGTCTCAGGGGCCTATGACCACATTTTACTCTCTCAGGTTAGGTCTGTTAACCACAGATATGAACCCCAGGATCAACCGTGGATACAAAACTGGACTGGATTTTCCTCCAGAACAACCGGGTAACAAGGTAGCATAGCTCGAACGAATATACGGAATTTGCGTTTACTGTTCCCTTGCCATTTACATGAGTTCCGGAACTTCCATTGTAGTCTTAGAAGTACGCGGAGCTGCTGGAAAACTGACGACGGTCCCCCTCACACCTCCTCGACTCGTTGCTTGGCGTGGGCCTCTTCTCTCTCTCCTCTCACCCCCTCCTTGCGAAACTTCCCTGCAGACAGCGCCGAACGAGTGATTAAGATTCAGCAGAGCAGATAATTGCCGAGAGAGTGGAATGCTGGCCGTGTGTAACAAACCCGGCGGCGTCTGCTCGAGGCGTAATGATTTAGAACGCGAAGCTCTGGTTTCTGCACAAGCCGCCATATTAAGGTTTTATTTTAGGGGCGTTTTGCGCGTTTGGTTGTTCTGTTTCTTAATTAACAGCTCTGTATTTTCTTGCGAGAGAAGTAAACTGTACGAGACGGTTAGGTGCGCTCCATGTCTGATGTGGTGAGCATGGTGAGAAGGTATTCTTCCCCACACGCCTCGATAGACGGCCTATATTTCAACTTACGCACAATGGCATGTCTGTAGCTCAGTTCGAGGATGTTTTTATCTTTCACTTCTTCACAATGTGAAGTGATTAATTTTCGAAGGCAAGTCAAGTCTGATAACGGTTTTAGAAATATGCAGGATATAACTGCGAAGCCATGCCGCAGACTAATCAAGGCTTTGATTGAAAGGCACGTGTAAGATCGGAAACAAAATATTATTGTGTTACGTTCCTCTCTACTAAAGCTTCAAGTTTCGTTTGGGTATAATCTCTTATATGAGATTTAAAAAGAGAAATTCCAGAGCTGGAGACACGCGTGCCTGAAGTTCAGAGTTACACTGCGTGCATTTCGTTCACAGAGTGCGCTCGTGTGGCTTGTTTGGTTCTTATAACTGCATCCGCAAAGATTAACCACATTTATTGTGAGATTGTTACTACGCCTCTGTCTGAATGTGTTCTTCAAAATGACTTTCGAAACAGCTGTCCAATTTTGATGAACGAAGTTGAAGCCGTTGAAAGCATACTTGGCACGGACCTTCTGCTGACTTACTTACATCCGCACATTTCAGTACCGGATGTCAGGATGACTGTGAGGGGCAAGACGGGGCGCAGAGAGAGATAAGTGTCCAAGTGAAGTGACTAAATCAGCATGTGCCTGGCACGAGTGGGTAAGACAAACTAAAACTGATTCAGTAACCAAAGATCGAACCAGGTATATCTCATTTCAGCTCCGATAATCTCCTTGGTCGATGTTGAAGGTTGAGGCGAAAGAAAGTGGTAGTGGACTATTTTAAGTATATTCTATCCACTCATCTGGAGAAACTTAGCAAGTCAGTAGCCTTAATAAGACTTTCAGTAAAGTGATTATCAGCCTAAAGGATGGTCGGCCATGGTTCTATTTCAGGCATTGTTATGAATCTCTTCTTCGCCATAGTGTGTCCAGACTGGCTCTAGAGACCACGAAAGTCCTTGTACTGCAGATACCGAGGGCTTTACAACAGGCAATAACGCAGCGGAGAGAGAAGCTAATCACTCACCTCCACCCAGTTTATGGGTTTTAAGGCCCTGCAGTACAGAAGGCCACCTGAGACTGAATACATTTTAGGTTATAAGGTCTGTAACATGACTCGGAGTAAAATTACATAAAATCTTGCGCACATCGGACTGTAAAGGGGATATGCTTGCTTGCAAGACCTACTCTTCGCCTCTGAAGATAGAGGCAGTTTGTCCCCCTGGAATATCGGTAGACTTCTACCAGAGCACGATGCTTCACATCCCTGAAGATAGAACTTTTCATAGTCACCGTCCTTAGAACCGCAAATCCCATATTTTTAACTTTTCGGCAAGCTTCGCGTGCTTTCGGGGGATCATTTTTCAATGCCGAACGTACAATATAGGAAATGTACACATAGAATCCCTCTTGTTCAATAAAAGCGCAGACCGTTATGTTTCTCTACAACACCAATCCATAAGTAATAAACCGTTATACTTCTCTACAGCACCAATCCATAAGTAATAAACCTTTATGCTTCTCTACAGCACCAATCCATAAGTAATAAACCGTTATGCTTCTCTACAACACCAATCC